TTTTTATTATGAACTTTCAATATGTCACAGCGTAGTTTACTTTCCCGTTTAAGTGAAAGTCCATCCTCAAAGTACATGGTTGTCCCATTTGTTTAATACCTGCCTGTCCACTGGATTGTAGGTCACAGTAGAGCAGGACCCCTGCTGTGTGTGTTCCCTAGTCAGTTCCCAGGCACTCCTGAGTGCATGTAATGGGCTGTCCAAGCCCTGAGACACTGTTAATGTAAGTCTAGAAGACAGTTTTTGGGGGGGAGTTAAGTAACCTTTTGCTTGTGGTTTGGCTTATTTGTTTTAATCACTGTACACCTCTAGTCCCAAGCAATCAATTTACAGAAAGACATGCTGTATATACTGCCTTGTACTTTTAGGCTCAGAGAAAGAAGGGAAGACCAGGAAAAAGACCTAAGATAAAAACATTCCAGTACCAAATAATATTAGTTAGCAAATGTACCATAATGTAATCTAATATTCTTATTATTTTAGGTCCCCTACCTTCACTCATATTTTGAATTGTGGTGGTACTATATAAGGAAACACTTGCAGCCTTAAGTGAGTATTCCATACTAGAATTCCTCTAGCTGCAGATCTCTTTTAAATGGTCAGCACACATAAGACCCAGCTATCACAGATACTGAAATGGAGCCTCATTAACCAAACCCACTGCCATCGAATTAATCTGACTCACAGCGAATCTACATAGAGCTTCTGAGATTGTAAATCTCAGCACACAACCTCATTCTTCTCCATTGAAGAACCTGGTAGGTTTGCATCACTGATCTAGAAGCTAACGCTTATCCCACAGTGCCACCAGGGTTTCTTTGAATATCTCATTAGTCAAGATCAAATACTGTTCTATTTTGCATATCTAAGGCATAGTTCAATTTTCAGAACTTAAAATTTAAGTTAAGAAAAAAGCACTATGAAAATATATTCTTACAAAATTTACATGATTTCAGTAACCTACAGAAATATTTTTTGATCTCCAATCCTGCCAGATAAGACAATGACCTCTAAATATTAAGAACAAAGTGTCTCACTACTTAGAGAACCTTGTTTTAGGATTTACTTGGCAGTGTGAGTTTACCCTCTTAGAGCTGTGAGGCATAAAAGGATTGTCAATGACACATCTATTGTTAGCTGCCATGACCTGTCATTATAGAATCATTAAGCACCATTTTCAAGGAATAAGCAGAAAGTTCTTTCAGTTTTAAATATACACAATAACCTTCTATACTGGATAGGCTAACTGACTTGATTGCTAATAAGAATATGGGATATTTAAAGCTATCCTTCATAAGTCAGAAATACCAATAAACTTCCAACATTCCTTACAGAAATAAATTGTATGAGTGAATCTTTAACTATAGGAACTCAATAAACAAACTCAATCTCTATATCTGGGGTCCTCAAACTTTTTAAACAGGGGCCAGTTCACTGCCCCTCAGACCTGTTGGAAGGCCGGACTATAGTTTTAAAAAAAACTATGAACAAATTCCTATGCACACTGCACATTATCTTAATTTGAAGTAAGAAAACAAACGGGGCAAAAACACCCGGCGGGCCGGATAAATGTCCTCGGCGGGCCGCAGTTTGAGGACGCCTGCTCTATATGCATGGACACACATAATAAAATGGAGGCTGGCTAGCTTAAAAAACAAAATTCCAAATTCCCTGCCATCCAGTCAATTTCAAAAAGTTCCTAAAGTAAACAGATTATCCAACTCAGCCTTCTGTACCACTCAGGTCCTTTGTTGACACTAGCACTGTGTCTGTTTCCATGAAGTTCTGAAGGAAGATGATTTTGTATACAGATACTTGACAGGGAGATGTAAGCATAAAACACAGCAAACAGAAAGAAAGCAAGCACATCCAGCGATGGCACTTCCCGTATGGCTGTCCCCACAAAGCTTAAAGGGAGAGAATAAAATAGTTATTTAAAATACAAAAGCCAAGCAAGCAGCTTCCCATACTTCCCACATCATTTCTTCTTAGCATTCATTTTTTAGGTTCATTATTTTGTAGAATACTGAAAAATCAAAGAACACTATAGGATCCAAAGAAATTAAGAAATGGGTTGAAATTGTCTTTTGCAGTTGGCCAAAATTGAAGTTGTGAAGATTAAACTCCAAAATCAAGATCACAACCCAGCTCTCCTGGATCTTTCTCCCTATATTACCCACACAGATGCAAATGGCAATACCAAAATTTTAGCCAGAGATGAATCCTTTTGGCCACACGCCATTTTAAATTACAACCAGCATTTGTTCAAGAGAGAAATGATGAGAGTTAAATGGACTTTACTTGGTCAAAAAGAAGCAATTCAAGTTCTTTGGGTCTCCCTTCTTGCTATGGGGCCTCTTGGAAACAAAAGAGGAAGAAACGAAGGAAGGTCAACTGGCAGTGTCTTTATTGCCCTTCTATATTCCCATTTCCCATGTGAACAAAATCCACTCTGGTCACCACGTCACCTCCTTTTCTTCTAGGTTCATCAACAACCTTTCTTCAGCTAAGAAAGAATAATGAAAACCATTTATCCACCAACCTTCATCACTTTTCCTACTTCACACTCCTATCTTTTCTCTCCTCTGAAGAGTCTAAATATAGTTCATGTCCCTGCTGTTTCTCATCTCGCTGTCTTTGGGCATGTCACTGTCGTTTTATTATGTGTATGTGGTGTGACAATGGAAATAATAGTTCTCCTGCCTACTTCCCATGATTGAAATGAGACTTAGACGCCATAACGAATGTGCAAGCACATTATAAATCACAACGTTCAAGATTCAAGTAATGTTTCTACCATAGTACAATGATCAAACATCACTAATTGCCCATAGTTATTCACGTAAGCAAAAAGTGTCTAAGAAATTGTAGCCCACATGTAGCTACTCTTGAAAGAAATTAATTTTCTGCCAAACTCTGAAAGGTAAAACTGTACACCTGACACTCAGCCACTCATATTCTTCGATGTTTAATTACTTAAAAATTAGTTAAAAATATATAAACTATTATAACTGGTTTTGTAACATTTTAAAAATGATGGCTATACTTTTAAAAGTTAAAGTAAATTTATTATTTATTTCTAAATATTTTTAATAGTTCTAAATATCATACTAATTATTATGAGCAACTTACTTATGCTTGGCACTCAGTTAAAATATGATTTGTTTAGGTCAACCAAAAAGAAAATCTTATTAAATTAGCTAGTAAAACAAATCAAGATTCCGTTTTCTAATAATTTAATTCTAAATGAAAACCTAAAACATTCAGCCCGACAGAATACTATCTAAGAATGTACACTCCGATAAAATGGAAAATCATATTGAAAAGTCTAGCTTCACTCTTTATTCCATAAAGCCAAACCAGAAAACCCAACTCACTGCCATCAAGTCCATGCTGACCCTAGTGTCCCTATAGGGGGAGACTTTCATCCCCGCCAACGGAACAACGGAGGGTTTTGAACTGCTGACCTTGCTTCAGCTGGCTACTGTGCGACCACTGTCACGGGGCTGCTTCTGTAGGCCAGTCAGGCTTGATGCACAGTAGATGAAAATGGTCTAGCTTAATTCAGAGTACAAATACATTTCAAAAAAGCATCGCTTTTCATCTCAATACCAACTTGGTTTAATTCAGAATGAAAATAATACTAGGGTAATAGCTGGTGACACTAAGTTTTTTTATACGTGTATTTATATTTTGGGCCACCTAATAACACATAAAGGTCTTCAATAAAAGACAACCAAAAATTACCCAGCAGAGGATCACATCATGACATTGCTGTCCCTATAATACCTACATTCTCTATTCCTACATCTGAAAAACAAGTACTCTTCATGCCTATTAAAGACTCCCTGACATTTTATATAGATATCCTTGCAAAGAAGAAAAAATGTCTTAACTATACAAGTATAACTTAGGGAAAGTATGGCAAGATCTTAAAAATACCACTCAGTTAAAAATAACTTAAAAGACCTAATAAAATAAAGGTAATTTTTACCAGTGCATGTTGTTATTAATAAACTATTTAACTCTCAATCATATCTCATATTTAAACACCAACTTTCAGGCCTCCATTCTTTCAAAACTAAACAAATTTTAAGTCAACAATGGCGCCCTATCCCCCACCCGCTCCACACACAAAAAGCTCCCAAACCAACAAGCTCTTCAATAAATTCCACTTCCAATGTAAAACAAAAATAAAGCCAACAAAAATAAATCCACCTTTATTTTCCCTTGGGGGTACACTCTCCCTGCCCATAATGTAGATTTCAAGCATTTGTCACCAACTATTACCAAGTTAATTTTGAACAGAAATTAGTTCGATACTCTGTAGAATGATTTTTAAGGTCAATACTGGTCATATTTCTTCTGAAAACTCTGTTCAAAGTCTTATTCAAACACAAACATCCCAGTAAAACATGCTGATAATATTTAGATTGAAGCCAAAATACAAGCAACGCTACAATGAATACTTTTATAATATTCCATATATTTTTGTTTTTATTTTCCACTCAGTTGCTGTTCATAAGTCTATACCTAGGGTTACGTCACTTCTGATACTTATTAATAGACCAGGTGAAAATACATTGGAAAAATATTCACGTTTTTTAAAAAGATTGAAAAATTAAAAATAAAAGATTTTTTATTTTTATTTTAGTAGCATAACTAAAATATTAATCTTGTTTGACTTTTATTAGCATATATAATGCAGGATCAAAAACTGTTAAGACCATATAGCTAAAAGCAAATGACTATAATGCACCAGTACCCAGGGTCATATACTGATGCCAAAACTGATCTCAATTCCAAAATAATCAGTGCCCAGACAAATGACATAAAAAAATTAATTATCATTTTTTCTCTCAAATTCTAACATGATATAAAAACATAAGAGTCTGTACTACATGAAAAGCCTTTAAAAAACACATACGTACGTCTATAACTCTTCAACTAAAGATTAATAACAGCATTCAAATTACCAACGAAGAAAATAAAAAACTCACTTTATATAGTATCTTGCACCTTCAAAAGTATATGCTTCTTCCCAGCCAGTAGGCAAATCTAAAGAACACATATATATCGTAATTAGTATTATTTGAGTAAGATAGCAAAATATAAGTTTGATCTCCTCTTAATCATAGCTTTCATATTTAGTTATTTTCATTTGTTAAGTAGATCTTCTCATTTTAAAAGTGTTATATAGGTAATAAAATTGGTAGCATCATTTTTTAGAAAACGGTTACTTGAAATGTAAGGTGACCAGAAAAGCGCCAGCAATATTAGAAATCATCTGACCTGATTAAAATCGTTAATAATCAGGGTGGCGTGAAACCATGCTCTGGCATTCATAAAACACACAAGGAAGCCTTCTAATCCCAGGTAAAATACCCATGAACTGCTGGTAAAAAAGCAAGACCTGTGTGTGCATCAAAGCCTTTTCTTAGGTACATACTTAAGAAGTACTTCTCAAATGTATCAACTGTCACCGATGACAAAGAGCTTCCTCAATACTCAATTAGGGGGGAAAAATCTGACACTGCCTACTTGTTCTTGTGTGTTTCTAGAGGAGACTTTAAAAAGATGTGAAGTTTCAAGTAATAAGCCTGTAAATGATCAGGAGCATACATGCTGCATATTACTTTTGGTTAGAAGTCAAGTGCTCAACTATTTGTGCTACTCAGGGACCTGAGCATATTACTTTTAAATGACAATTGGTTGGGATTTAATCATAGCACCACTCGAACAGAAAAGCCATTAGTGTGCATACAAAGCCACAAAGTCAAAGCAAAATAAACCAACACGCCAAAAAAAATCAGTGTCAAATTATATGGGGAATACATGTTTTTCCTCGATGTGAATATTATCAATTCTGTGGAGCAAGTTTTAAAACACATTTATATTACACATTAAAAAAACAAGCATGGAAAAAAATTCTGTAGGGTGATTTGGCTAAATAACTTAAAAATCATATTGTCTTTTATGAATGAAATTGATTACTACCCACCAAGGAAAGGGGGTCCTCAGAGGTGAAATATGTACACAAAATACTGATAAGGCATGTTAAACTCAAAGACTGACCAGACTTAAGAAATGTGGTGTATCAGAAATGCTTTTTAAAGTGTAATTTCATCAGGCTTGCTACACCAGCCTTCCCCTTCCTCCTCCACCTTTTCAACAAATTTGGAGATATTAGTCACTTCCCTGAACTGCATTAACAGAAAAAAAAAAGTCAGGCTTGCTCAATATCCTGGCAGCTTAAAGGGATTCAAAGAACCTGGGAGTTCCAGAGCAACTATGGTGGAGGCAGCCCCAAGGACTGCAGACGCCGAGCTCACCTCCACCTGAACTACGCTCACGCTTTCCCAAACGCTGGGAAGAGGGAGCCAGTAAGCGAGCCCATGCTCCGTTTCAAAGACAAACAAGTTTCCCGAATGTAAACAAAGATGACAAAAGAAAGCCAGACCAGCAGGAAAGCCACCAGCAACCCTTCTCCAGCTCAACTCACATTCAGAATCCAAACAAGCCACGAAAGACACCCGAGAATCCCGTGGCCTCCAATTCGGGGGCAAGTGCCCCAACACAGGACGCCCCTCCGCACGGTCCGTGCAACCGCGGTGCGGCCGCCGGAGACTCGGAATCCCGACCGCCGGCAACGGCAGCTGCAAACGCCGCCTCCGACGCGGGGGGCTCCTCCCGCGGCGGGAGGGAAAGCGCTCCACGTTCCCGGAGCTGATCCCAGTCGCTGGGAAGATCGCAGCGCCCCCAAACTCCGCTCCCGCCCCCTCCCCTTCTAGCCACCTCCCCACAAGTCCCACCTAGAGGAGGAGGCAGCTGCACGGTGGGAGGCAGCTCGCGGGGAGGAGGGAGAGGTTATGGCTACATCATCCCGGCGGACGAGTGGCAGGG